GCCTGGCTTTCCAGAATAGCTTGGCTCTGCCTTTTGGCCTGGGCCTGCTATCTTGGGGTGGCTGATGGGGTAGAGAAGATTCCCACTCCCAGGCTGCCCATCATCTTGGTTCTTGATTTTTAACCTTTTTATTTTTATTTTATTTTTTTTTAGCAGTTTTTAACTCTTTTATTATATTGTAAGCTACCCAGAGTGGCTATTTTAGTGAGATGGGCGGCACAGAAATTCAATAGACAGACAGACAGACAGAGAAATGATTGCTAGAAGATAGTTAGCTAAATGATAGTAGATTGATAGGCTGAAGACATATGATATAGATAGACAGATGATAGAAGATCGATTAGATAGACACCCTTTATCCCCTTTCCTGAAGAGTCAGCTGGAGGCAAAGGGGGGATGAGAAGAAACCCCAGCATCCACAAAAGGTGATCCAGGGCCACTAATTCTTTTGGGGGGGCTTCAGTGAACAAAGTCGAGGTGCCTCCAGTCTCCTTGGGGTGGAGATACAGCTTTCTGCAAGGTGCCTTCTATTCTGCAGCGGAGGGCAGTCCGGAAGAGGGGTGGCTTTCAGGACACCCCCCCCCCAGGACCTTTTCTGCTTTCAGGGAAGAGGACCTGCTTCCCCAGGAGGACTCAGTGAGGGGCTGCCAGAGCCTCTTCAGAAACACGGCCATGCCAAAGCCCCAGTAGCCGGGCCGCCTTTCTAAACAATTCTCAAAAGCAGGCTAGCACTACTGGGAGACAATTTCCATGTGCGGATGCTTACTGGAACTCTCCCTGCTACTGAACAGCGAGAACAGATAATAACCATTAGTAAATCAAACTCCTTGGCAATATCCAGCTGTGCCTTGTGCATTTACATACAGATAGAATGGGTATATGTTTTTAATATGTATGCGCTAACACTTTCCCCACAGCTGAAGTGTGTCTTACAAAAGGAGGCGGCGGATGGGAATGGCATCGCCACGAGATAATAAAGTGACCTAGATAAAGTATTAGCCAGCGATTGATCTCAAACGGGGAAGGCTGTCTCTCTCTGACCTGGTTACTTACTATGCATAGATTCCATTAAATAGAGCTTAGGAACTGAAAGCTTCGGGAAAATGGTGCCACTGAGGCCAAAATCAACGGTGACCAAAGCCAAGCGCATCGCCGCATGACCTGGAGTCCCACGTGCGTCCCTCTCGTATATGGCTGCGTCCCTCCGACCAACAGATAAACAGACATCTTTTTCCTGCCTTTTAAAATCAACCACCCTTTGTAAGCAGGCAGGAATAGGCCCTCTCTTTGACCGAGCAGTAGTTTATGAAGGATGCAAGCATTGCAGCCAGGTGAAATGGCGCCGTAAGGTCTTGCAAAGGACAGATGTAAGGGAGGAAGTAGGAAGCGATGCACTCCGATTCAAAGCTTGCTTCAGCTACTGGTGTGAAAACATCATCAACATATGGAAACAGCATTGGTAGGGGCACATCAGAGGGACTCTCCAGTGAAAGGGGGACAGAGCACCACTTGGAGTAGACTTTGAGGGGCCTTGCATTCATGTTGTTGAAAATTCTCTCTGAGCGTAAACACTTTCACAAAGGATGGAAGCAAATTCTTTTCTCCTGTGGAAGGCCTCCTCAGTGGACTTTGATACAAGTGCATGTCTTGTTACAACGAGGCCCCGTTCTGGTGGACAGCATTTCACAGAGATGTTGCAAAAGAAGATGATAAGTAACTGTAAAAACTGGATTTTGGAGCCATGTTTCATGATTCAGTTAACAGAGAGGCGAAACGCTGCAAAACAGTGGCACCTCCGTATTCGACTGCTGGGAAGGTGGATGACACAGGAAAAAGGACAGACAGAAAGTTTTTCCTAGCCAAAACAAAGGTTCACATTGCAAGTTACCTGGTTTGCTTGGCATTCGTAGTTTCGCAGCCTCCTATGACCAATTAACGTCGAGTACCAGGGCACCACTGTATTCACTTTGCTGCCATTGTTTATTAGATTAAATGATCTGTAGTATTCTGAAGTAACCATGCAGCCTGAAGAGCCTGTAGCGTTTTTCTCATTCTATAGCTTTGGAATGAGCTAGAGAGCTGGTCTTGCCCAGGAATTTTCTCTGTTTGAAACTGTTTGTTTAATGGGGGTTCAAAGTTACGACGGCCTCAGAAAAAGTGACTTTTCACCCCTCCTCACACGACTGTTGCACAGCCCCATGGTCATCAGACTGCAATTCAGGCATTTGGCCATAGTTTGCATTTATGATGGTTGCAGTGTCTTGTGGTCATGTGGTCATAATTTGGGATCTTCCCAGTGGCTTCTGACAAGCAAAGTGAATTGGGGAAGCTGGATTCACTTAATGACCACAGAAAAATTGTTGTAAAATCAGGTCTGGTCACATGACCAAATCCCTTAGTGCCTGAAATTCTGATCCCAATTGTGACTGTAAGTCAAGAGCTACCCGTAGTAGCTTAATTTTCGGTCTTTGCTCCAACTGATCTATGCCCAACACTTTCTCTCTTGCTGTCTCATTGGCAAAACTCAATGTGTCTGTCCAAAAGATAGACAATGCCTCATCTTGTCTTGCTAAATCTACCACTAGGATGGCATTTAAAACAGTACAGAGAAATTAGTGCAGTTCAACTGTATGGTTAAGATGAAAATATTACTTGAACACATCAGCAGACTGTAGACTTCCTAACCTGAGGAAAACAAGAAAGTCTAGAAAAATAACTGCTGCTGTGTAAGTGGCCGTCTTTTCAGCTCCTTCCCCCTTCCCTGATTAAACAGAAAATCTGTCTGAAATCTTTCAAGACTTCGTGAAACTGTAGGTGAGATTGCCATCATCATTAAAAAAATATCCTTCCAATATAACTGATAAAATCACTGTTGTAAAGTGTCATGGTCATTCTGTGTGAAATGGTATAGGTTCTCCTGCTCGAGCAGGGGGCTGGACTAGAAGACCTCCAAGGTCCCTTCCAGCTCTATTCTATTCTAATGTTGCCAGCCACCCATCTGCAATTCTGCAGTATAAGCAAAAACCAGAACCAAATCAGGATGAATCTGGAAAATCAATCTAGGGAACCACTCTCAGTCCAGGAATCCACCCTAGAAGGAAGCCAGCTGTAGGTGTGGCCAACTCACAGGTCCATAAGCAAAGAAGACCTCAACCAGACTTCCCTCCATGAGCAGAAGATCTCGTCAGTAATGAAAGGCCAACTTTGCTGGCTAAGCAGCTATTTTAGAAGCCCACTTTCAAAGGAGAAAAAGCAGCCTTCTTAAAAGAAGCCCAATTCTCTTTCTGAAGCTGTCATGCTTTTTTTAATTATTAAAGGGGGAAAGATGCTGCCTTATGAGTTGAACCCAACACTTCAGGGCAGGTAGTTGGAAAGATATATAACTCTGCGTCTCTGTTCCTATCGGCACTCACCCCTTGGCCTCCGTCTTTATGGCTTTACACCCTGTAGTGGCGTTATAGCTTCTGAACACACACACACACACACAGAGATATATACGGAGGGTTGTGAAGTGCGATCTGCAGATGTTTTATTTATAAGTGCCGGGCCTATTGCATCACAGAAAGCATGCATTTACAAAGAGCTACGGATTTTATGAAACCCCGTTCTGTTGGTTTAATAGTCAAGCCACCCAGGCATAGAATAATAACATTGTGTAAGGTAAATGCATCTCCATCTCTAGAACCTGTTCCAAGTTCTCTCAGATGTGACTAAGTGCGGGAACCTTCCAACCATCCCAAGTTAATAAAAAAAGAGGCAAATTAAGGCAGCTTCAACCAACAGTACTCAGAAATAGAATGGGTGGTGTGGAGAAAAATACCAAGTTCTACATCGTTTAGGTATATCAAAAGTTGTTTAAATGCTCTTTCAACATCAACAGAAATTACTGGCTTTCAAAAATAGATTCAAAGTAAAATGTCTCACCATCATGAAGAAAGAACTGAGAAAGCAGCACTTGGGATGCTGGGATCGGTTCAGTGACATGTTCAACAACAGCTTCCATTCCCAATTACTACTGTGCCCAGCACTAGATTCCAAAGCAGTTTCACACATACACTGAGCAGTGTGTGCAGCATATGAACACGGGTCCGGTTGTTTGAAGAAGACAAGCCCGAATTACTATTTAGGGTGCAACAGGAGTTGCATGATTTTATGGATTGTGGCCATCATCCTTTAACTTTGATGGGAACTTGGCATCTGCCTTCCTCTGTTTTCCCCTGATATATAAAAAGTACTCAACACCTCTCATCCCCAAAAAATGATGTACAGCTAAGCAGGTATTGAGGTTTTTAGGATCTTGGTGCCTTTATTCTTTCAAAAATGTTTTTTCGTGAGTCGTCCAGAGTCATTGGAAGTTGGGTGGTATAGAAATTTAATAACCATAAAAAATGAATAGGGAAATAAATACATCTCATTTTAAAGAAAGAAGGAAAAAGAAACATGTTCATCTTTCATGCTGTTACCAACAGAGAGAAACAAAGAAAACCTGAGGAAATGAGGGTCTTTCTTTAGAAACCTTAGCAAGGTGAAGTCTGGCTCTCCCATTTCACAATAAGAATACTATATAGAGTACTGGATATCACAAATGCTGATATTGATTACACTCACACACACAGACACACACTCACACACACACACACACACACACACATGAATCTGCATTTTTTTTTAAAAAAAATAATTCCGCAAATTTAGGAAGGACTGAATAATCTCTTCGACAGAAAGCCTCTTTTGACCTAAAGGCCAGAAAGTTCCAAGAAGGTTTTGCTAATGCATGGCTGATCCCACCCCTAAATTTTAGCAAAGACAATTAACAATGCTAATGAAATGAGATAATGCATGTCTCAATAATATTTGCTCGATGCCAGTGCTGGAAGCAAAGTTTAGATTTGATATTAGTTAACTTATGGGGAAAAACAATAAACAAGTTTGCATGTGTCATAAATCAATAAACCTTTTGGGGTTTATGTCTCCAAGGATGTAGGGCTAGATCAACTCACCATTAATTCTTCGGGGGCTGGTCGTTCTTTTGGTTGCTTCCTCATACTGAAAACACAGAGAAAAAAAAGAAGTTAGGAAATGTCCCAAGAACAGTGAAGATTCTTAAATATCTCATGATGCTTGAGCAACAGTCATAAACTAAACTGTACCAACCAAGGGGGAATGTTGAAAGATTGCTTTAAAAAGTGCCCTAAATGGTGTCTTTTAAAGAAAAAATATTTTATGCTTCAATGAGCTAAGAAGGAACAAGCCGTTTGCTGTAACACATTTTAGATGCTGGTTTAGAACATGTCAGGGACTCAAGAAAAACTGGGGAAGCAGGCCTAGGGCCAACCCTGATCACCCAGGATGACTCAACAGAAGCCCATAAAAACATTCCCTCCAAACAGTAGCCAAAAAGGAATTCTGTTCACTTCTGCCACTGAGTTTACTGTTTATTCTTTGGTCCAGCTTGTTAGAGTCCTACAACATTTCAAGTTTTTCGGCTGTAATGTTGCTGTTCTTGTTGAGTTTCCTTTTTTTGTGAAATACCCTTCAGTCTCCCTGGGAATCCCATCATTTTCTAAAACAGGCCCTTATTAGTTTGATGCAATGGTTACTTCTGCAATCCTACAACTGCCCTATTTCCTGCCATGCAGTGGATGGGAGAGAAAGAAGCTGGAAGGAATCTGGATTGTTTTGGTTTGTACCACTCAATTCCCACACTACAGTGCCCTTTCTGAAAGGCAAATAAGGGCCAGGGTACCAGATGGGAATTATGTGGGGTCCCAAAGGTGCTTTTTCAAAAGGCAACTGGAATTGCTTTGTTTTTCCTTGAAGACATTTCGCTTCTCATTCAAGAAGCTTCTTCAGCTTTTCAGTCAGAAGGTCAAGGAAAAACAAAGACAGTCCAGTCGCCTTTTGAAAAAGCACTTTGGGAACAAACATGGATGACTGAGAATCTCCACAGAATTATGTGAAGCTCCCAGAGTCCTCCTGCACAACTGGCCAAGCCCCACTCTGCTGCCACCCCCAGTCATCTCCCGATCCTGACTGCAGCAACAGCTCCCTCGTTGCTTCCCTCGCCTGCAAAGCCAACCGAGGGCCGCACTCTTTGCAAGCTGTTCTAAGCCACCTTGGCAACACGCTTAATCTGACATTCCAAAGTAGCTGGGTCTTATGGGAGAAGGAGGCTATTATGTGCTATCATTTATGCCTCCACCTGACATCTGTGGACGTATCTGTAGAGGTTAGCCCTCCTCCTGCCTCAATTAAAAAAATATAAAAACAATATGCTTTCTGATTAATCTCTGGGTAGAAGTGGAAAGGTACAGCAAGATAGATCATCCACCATTCCAGCTTTACTACAGAAATCTAATCTACCCCAAAGTGGATCAGTCTTATAATAAACATAAGCTTTGTATTTATTATTTCAATTAACAATAGTCACACTGTTAATTCCTTCTCTCTCTCTCTTAAAAAAAATACCTCCCTTTGGAATATTCCAGGAGAGGCCTCTGTCATCAGCATTTATTCCAAGGCTTCTCCCACTTGGTTACCTCATTCGAAGTTAATTCTATTGACATCAGTCAAAAACTTTACTTGCAAAGGAAAGGAAAATTAGAACAAAGGAAAGTGGTTTTTTTTGGGGGGGGGTGGGTTCAATTTTGACTGCCAGCATCAGTATTTTTCAACAGGGATATTCCTATTAGTATTTATTGCAAGCGGCTGGCCCCATTCTGTGTGGTGCTGAGAGTGATTTTTTTAAAATTGGTTTCAGGTGTAGCTTTGAACATTTCTCTCTCCTATCCCTTCCACAAAAGAGAATAGACATTCAATTCTTTTAAAATGGTGCAACTTTATTGATATGCCCACTGTCTTTCTCCATATAATGCGGGGCTGCTACTATTACATTTTAGTAAGTGCATGCCTTGGTGTGTGGATTGTTTTGTTTTCCATTCCTCTACAAAATTAAGCTATTTTGTTTGAGAAGAAAAAGAGTAATTCTAGCTCTCATCCACATGTTTAGACTGTAAGTTACTTGTTCTTTTAGCCTTCAAATACTTGTTTATCATCTTTCCATATAAAAGAGGCATTGAACATATCTTTGCTATGGTAAGTTAACCTTTTGGTGCTCAGAAGATTCTGACTTTAAACTACATCTGCTTCCTTTTAATGGCGCTGCTTAATCTAAGGAGCATTCCTGGCTGACCAAGGCAGTCTGTCTAGAAGAATGAAAACATGCCCTACAGTGTGGTTCAAAAGATGCAGCCCCATCAGAACACCTCCCAAAGACAGACCCCATAAAATTTCTTCCAAATGAAAAGCCCCCAAATTTATCAAGGCTGCAGTTTAGACCCCTTCAAAAGTGGAGCGTATTTTTCTAAGCAAGAAGAGAAATGCTTGAATAATAGAGAGGTAAATACGATTATCATCTTCATTCAAGGGATTTCAAACACATGCCTGTGTGCCTGTGGAAATGCATGGCACCGGTTCTCCGAGAATGCAGTTGTTTATGGAAAAAATGGGTGGGGGCAAAAAAGTCCCCCTCCGAAGTACTTTTATGACCCTTTGTGTAAATAACGTTTACATAATTTAAACAGTTTGCTCAGCTTTGCTGGCCCAGCTGGCCCAGCCCCGCCAGGTCCCTGGAGCCCTGGAAGGATTCAGAGGAAGCCATAAGGTCCTGTGATATGGGGAGTTAATGGCATGTGTCATTTACATCGAGGGCACGGCACATTTGCAAACGAAGCTTACCATTGAGTGATGAAGTGTACAAACGGCTCCGAGAACTCCCCAACCGGAAGGACAGGAGATTCCTACAAGCCCGTTTTGGCCACGGGTAGGGGGAGAAGGCAGGGGAGGGAGGGAGGGAGGAAAAAGAAGGAGAAAGCGTGAGTCCAAATTGTCAATTGCGCCATCACTCTCTGATGGCAAACAAACGGAGGACGTTTTAAAAAACAAAATCAAATAAAAGGAAACCCTGCATTTAAAAGTAATGAGCGTTACGCAGTGGGGGAAACACACGTAGAAATCCGAGCAAGAGGAAGTCGAAAACGGACAATGATAGCCACAGGGCAGGCAAGAAGGTAGCGAAAGTGTAAATGAGAAATTAATGATTATTTAAGTAACACCCAAATGGTCTTGTAATTAACAAAGAGCTGGGAAATTATTCTTGTGTTGACCTTCGCTTCCTCCATCATAGTTGCTATTTATTTACACTTAGCAACCCCAAATCTTGTTAGATTTAAGCAGAAGAGGCCAGGAGTGTATAAAGAATTTAAAAAAAAAAAAAAAAGGAGAGCTGAGCTAATTAACCAACCAGCCGACAAAAAGAGAAGCCAAAGATATATTCCGCAAATGGGGGGGGGGTCCCCGCGTTATTTCAAAGAGAAGGGCACGGTCTCTGTGAGAGGGAGATGCACACACGGGGGGGGGGAGGCTTGGCGGTGCCCCCCTCCCGCCCCAGAATGAAAGAGAGGCTTGCCAGTGTTTATAGTCTAACAGCTCCGGATGTAATGAAATGGCACCGTGGAGGACTTTAACAGGCATCTCATTAGTCCTACGGTTGGAACAAGAGAGCCACGTCTAACAGGAATCAGCTGCAAATGACTTTGCCTCTCATCTATTCTCATTTGCTATTAAAAATATCTTTCGGCAGCTTTTGCCACCGTTTCCCCACCACCTTACCCAGCTCTGTCCCCGAGTGCTCTGCAAAGTATGATGCATGCACCTATTTAAATTAACAAAGGAATGACTTATTTTAATCTCGCCGTGCTTTGCCTCTTTTGGCCGCTTGCGAGAGCCATCTATCATCACATACAACCTTCTAATGCTGCAGGCAAGAAACTCAGAGCGTGTAACATTTGGCGGGAGCCAAACAATTTCTCTCGCACACAACTGTGTCAAATGCATGTGAGGGGTTCATTAGGGAGGGCTGCAAGGGAAATGGCTTGGATGCGACAGGGAGAAGGGGGGGGAGGGGAGTTTAAAAAGGGGGAGAGGAGAGGAGGAGGAGGAGGAGGCTCAGAGCTCCGCCACTAACACACGTGTGTGCATGTCATTCTCAATGGTGGCTGCAAGAAGCAACCACCGAGCTGCTGAAGTGATTAGTAAATATACATATAATTGCGACGGCCCAATTATCAGAAAAATGAGAGTGGTAATTACAAGATAGAAAATTAAGTAGAACTCTTATTAAGTCTTTGTCTCCAATTCAAACAAACAGAAATTGCAGCAAAACACAATTAAATCAAAAGTTACTGAAGAGTACAAGGCGACAAGATTCAGAGGGTTGTCTTTGACATGCCTTTTGTGGGTTGCACGAGGCTGGGCAAATAGAGAAAAGCTCAAAAAACCTCGCCTTGACTGAAGGCCCTACAAGGAAGCGGTGACTCACCCTTGGAGGCTGTTTGGTTGGGGCTTCCATTACATCAGGGATGGGGGACCATGGGCCCTTTTATGACTTGTGGACTTCAACTCCCAGAATTTCTCGGCCAGCCATGCTGGCCGGGGAATTCTGGGAGTTGAAGTCCACAAGTCAAAAAAGAGCCATAATTCCCTACCTCTTTATTACATAAAGGGAACCTTTCAGGGCTGCCTGTGGGCGTTTGCCTTCCACCCAGGGTCTCCAACCTCGGCAAGTTTAAGATTTGTGGACTTCAACTCCTAGAATTCCTTGTGGGTGTTTGCCTCCCATCATAGCTGGCTAACGCATTCTGGGACTGAAGTCCACAAGTCTTAAAGTTGCCAAGGTTGGAGACCATTGCCTTCCACAATATTCTTTATAACAGACCTAATATGGTAGGCCTGCTAATATGGCGTATTTGAGGGCTTTTCAGGTGTGAGCCCTCTGTGGAATTTGGAAGTGAAGATCCGGCGACAACGACTGTCCCACATTTAGGACATCTCTTTGCCCAGCAGGACAGGCAAGGCCTCCCCCCCCCCCCTTGCAGAGTCCTTAGTGCTCTCTCAATTGGTTGTTTGCTTGCAGAAATTTCATGACCCAACTTGGTAAAGTCATCGGCACCTTCCTTCTCTGGACAAACTAAGCCCCGGAGCTCCTGTCTGCTCTGGTTGAAGAATCCTGGGCAGGGCAGAAACCCTCCTGAGAGAGACAAGTCGCCTGGCTGAAGGCCAAGCAGCAGCTTTTGGCTCCAGCAAGATCTGATCCAGAAATTTCCAACACCTTTTGGTGGATGTACAAATTAGGAGTGAGGATTCAAATCAGCCCCATGGGCGGTTCTCCTAACACTATTCTCCATCCGAGGTCCACACAGGCCTCCTGAGAAGCCGACGACAGAGGTGGCCTTGGTTCTCACACAGCGCAACCCTCTGACTCTTCTGAACGCTGGCAGGACAAACGCAGAGATGCGCCATCGGGGTGGCATTGATGGTGGTGGGAGTGTTGTTTTGAGTGATTGCCTCTACCTTGTGAATAATGAACAGTTCAAGAAGGTCAACCCATTACAACAGAAGCTGTTTAATTATTAATTATGCACAATCTCTGAGCGAAAGGACAAGTTCAGAATGTTTAATATGTGGGAAACGCCAACCAGACCCCGGTGTGGCGTTTTGCTATTAGCACTCGTCAGTAAGGCGCTCAAGCAGAACAAGCAAAGCAAGGAGCAGAAAATCTGAGGGGGAGGGGAAGAGAGAGAGAGGAGGTTGAACTTTAAACTCCCTCCCTAATATTTAATTTGTGGATGTGACAGCCCTCCAGCTATGGGCTGAGCCACGTGATCCAAGTGGACGGAAGTGGCTGATTTTGGGCTTGCCCACGGGGCCGGCAGGCTTCGACGCATGCAGGAAGCTTGGTCGGAGCCATTCCTCAGCCACCTCTGATCCTTTTCCTTAATGCTTTTGATCACACAGACATGCAGACGATTAAACAAGCCCTCCAGATTTTAATTATTTACTTGATTATGTATGATTTACTTGATCTATACATTTGTAGAATTATTGTGTTTGGCTCTGCTCGAAATGAACATTCTAGGCAAGTTGCAATTTAAATCAGCAGAGCCCTGCACACACACTCACATGCCGGGTACCAAACGATAAAACAAGTAAATTAAAACATGAATAATAAAATAATTAACTATTAAAAGCCTGAGAAAAGAGATGTGTCTTTACCGAGTTTCTAAAGGAAGAGACAGGGTGGTGATGCAAATTAGCAGAGTGGGGGCCCTTCCAATTTGGGAACAAGGAAGCTGATTAGTCCCCGAGGTCCAAGACCCAAAGTTTTTATTTCCAATTCATACCCTCAACTCTCCATTTCAGGGAGGAGGTGTCTGCGTAGATTCAGGAATACAAAAGATATTTAAAAAGTTTAAAAATAGCCAAGTGTTATTGTGTGTGCATATGTACAGGTAGTCCTTGACTGACAACCACAACTGGAGCTAGGATTTCCATGGTTAGGCAGGGCAGTTGTTAAATGAGCTGCCAATTTTATGACCTTTTTTGCCCCGGTTCTTAAGCGAATCACGTGGTCGCTATGGGAACCCGTCTTCCCCATTGACTCCCCATTGACTCCCCATTGTCAGGAGCCAGCTGGGAAGATTGCAAATAGCAACCACACAACCCCGGGACGCTGCAACCGTCATAAACGCATGCTGGTTGCGAAGCGTCTGAATGTTGATTATGTCACTGTGGGGATGCTGCGATGGTTGTAAATGTGAGGAGTGGTCGTACTTTTGATCGGTCACCGAATGAACGGTTGCAGCCAGGGACTACCCGCATACCTGTGCGAGAAAACCGCGCAACCACCGTGTCTTTGTGCTGAGGAGTTCCCCCCTCTTCCCTTAACCAGGAAAGGGGAGGGCCAGGAGGGCCAGGTGGGCAGAGGCCGAGGTGAGCTGCGCTTCCTGAGGGCTCTGCAGCCTCCCAAGAGGTGATTGGATTCCCTGCTTCAAAGCTGCCCATTGTCCTGCTGGGTCTGAAGGACCCCCTTTCAGGTTTTCAAAGGTGGCACTGCAGCAGGAAAGCTTTGGGAGGGGGGAGAGGTCCCAGCGATCAAAGAGCTGCTGCCTAGAATCCTTTCATCCCTTCCCTTACACCTTTGATCAGCAAGTTCTCCGTAATTTCCATGGTCTATAACTGCTCCGGAAGAGGCAGAGTTAAAGTCATGCTAGGAATCTATATTCTGTATTACCTATTCAATACATGTTTCACACACAATGTTTTCTTCCTGCAAGGTTTATTTCTAGAATATATTGAGAAATAAGTAAAGATATTAATTAAACGCTACCAATAAACAACCGCGGCATCTGGAAGATCTGGGATCAACCCAGCATCTTGGAGATCTACCCCAGAATAAGAACAGGGAATAGGAGGGCAGCAATTGGAAAGGGACAGAGAGCTAATAGCATTGAGGGTCCCCATCTCACTTGCTCCTCAAAGTTAAAGTAATTGTTAAAAAGCTTCAAATTCTATTTCCAGTTTCTAGTAGTAAATAAATATTAAGGTTTGTAAGAGGTTAAGTAAGACGAGCGGGCCGAGTCACATAGTTTTCTTGTGTGTGAGGGTGGGCAGATCCACACAATGCTGCTCAGAATCAGCTTCATATATGCATTTAGCCACAAGAAGGATCTCACTGGAAAGAAGGGAGACTGCACTACTGCTGCGCTTTCTGGCTTCTGGATCACCCTTCTCACAGTTTTAGCTCTATGGAGCCCTTTCAGTATCAATTCATCCGCTAGATCTGTTACAAAGGCACTGAGGTCCTACTATGGGGTAGGCTGGGAAAATCTGAAGTAGGGTCTTGCCTTCTAGTTGGTGGGTGTTTGTGTGTCTGTGTGTGTGAACACTGATGTTGGTTAAG